AGGTCAGATTTGATGCGAGGGAAAAAAAGAAGTCGCACGGGGCCATGTCTGGGCTGTAGGATGGTTGGGGAAGCGTTGGAATGTTCTTCGTAGTCAAAACTTCCTCACCGTTAACGCGTTGTCGTGGTGAAGGACCCAGGCGTGCTGGATTTCTGGACGGACGCACGCGACCCTTTTTCTCAAACGATCAACTAGTAAACGCAGCATTTTACTCGATCGTTTGAGAAAAAGGGTCGCGAGCGTCCGCGCGCAGAGGGTCGGCGCCTGGGTCCTTCACCACGACAACGCGTCGAACCACACCGCGTTAACGGTGAGGAAGTTTTGACTACGAAGAACATTCCAGCGCTTCTCCAACCACTCTAGAGCTCAGACACGGCCCCGTACGACTTCTTTTTATTTCCTCGCATCAAATCTGATCTGAAAGGAAACCATTTTGGGACCATCGAAAACGTCCAAGCGGCTGTGACAAGGACCTTGAACAATGTCTCTGTTGAAGGCTTCCAGCGCTTATGGAGAGTGGCAGCAATGTTGGATGTGGTGTATAGACTCTCCACGATAATACTTTGAAGACTACTAAGTGTTGAAGCTGATTTCAACAAAAGTATTTTTTCCGGAATCATTCTCATTACTTTTGGGACAGACTCTGTATATATATATTTTTTTTTTATATATATATGCAAGAATAATTAATTTTAACTGTGTGTGAAATAATCATACATTTTTAATCAATCGCAATTTACGATTATATTGTATTTTAAATCGAATTCTACGATAAAAATGTATTTTATTTATTGATAGTATTTATTGTATGTGTTTTCATGGTTTGATTAATTATAACAATTACGATTTCTTTACAGGCACGTCCACCTACAGCTATGCTTTGCATGTCGCAAACTAAACAAAGTATTTAAAATACCAATGTTACTTCAAATGTTATGGTTGTTTTTAAATACTATAACTTCCTGGATCAATATATATGTGATGCTTGTGAATATTCGAAAAGTATTTGAATATGATGAATATTGCGAGTATTTATATGAATGTTTTGTGGTTATTATGCATTCTATCTTATTTCTCACATTAAACTACGTGTGTCAAACTGTTTACTATAAGGTATAGTAAAATTAAAAGACAGTACTAATTATTTATAACTAGAATTATAAGCACAAGCACCAATTTTGCAACATTAAAATTACACATATCGAAGTTTTTTTCCACATGACGCAACTTTTTGAGTGGAAATTTTTAATTTTATTAAAAATTTTCGTATTGCTTTAAAACAATTTTAGATAAACGAAACAATTGTACTTCTTCACAAATTGTCCAATTATAATCTCGATGAGGAGTTACGTGAACTGGTAAATAATTACAACAAGAATTTTAATTATTCTATTCGTAATTTTACTAGTGCGAATGGAAGTTTGGGCATGTGAATAAATTTCATCGAATGATTACGTAAAAAACTGGGACATTATAAAACAGAGCAATTGTGTTATCCGTTTATATATAGAACATTAGAACATTTATACACACATACTAACGCCATAGTTAAGGTAAGCTAGAAAAAGTTTTATTAATCATTTTTTATTTTATATGCAAAAGCGAATATTTGAAATTTATTGATTATATA